CCCCAGCTGAAGTCACCGAGACCCCAAGTGTAGCACAGGCGGCGGGGGTCCTGCTTTCCCAGTGCTTTCCCACTGTCACAGCCCTGCCAAGCCCTGCGAGCTTCCAGACTCTTTTTCTGCCCTTCCATGCTAGTTTCGTTTCACCACCAGAGCTGGAGGGATTTTCCAGAAACCAGAAAAAAAAGCCAACGTCCATGCTCGATGTGGGAAGAGCAGAGCCCCAACAGTGCTGATGTGACAAAGCTCACATGGAGCCTCCCTCTCTGCACCTTTACTTTCATTGGGCCGTGATATTTCCTTGTTAGCTGAAAGTCTGCTGGGAACCTTGTGTTATAATGTTATCATCTCAAAAATAGGAGCAGAAGAACCAACTGGATGCAGGGGCCAAAACACTGCAGCTCTTTTTTTTTGGAGTAATGGTGGTTATCCCTCTTAAGGCCAACCAGGTGGCTTCTGTTTCTAAAACTGCTTCAGCCTGGATCAGGTCAATAAATGTTGAATGAAGTTTATGATGATTGTGTGATGAAGGGATGTTTTAATGGTAATTCTTAAGTACGTGTTTCACAAAGGTGAGGAATGGAAGGTACTCGATTTACGTTGATCGCCCAGGAGGGCCCATGGGATTAAAAACTTGTCAGGATGAAGTGTTACATGCTCATGTCATGACTAAACAGCTACCAAAGGTCTGGTGGCCAAAGCAGAGCTCATATCCACTGCAGTTCTTTCTGTTCCGGGTAAGTAGGTGACTGGTGGCATTTGGGAATGGCTGGATGGTTGCTGCTGACTCTTCATTCCTTTGCAATCCTTTGCACTGGATGCCCTGGACACAGTGGTGGAAACAGAGGTCCACGTGTCTCAAAGTATTTTGCAAGTGAATGGATTGATTCTATTGGACAAGTTCTTACTGTGATAAAAGTCACCTCAAAAACTCTCCTAGTCTCTACTAATACAGGACTTACATGATCTCAGGGAAGTCTTGAAACAGAAGTTTTCCCTCCTTTCTGACCTTTTCAGCTTGTAAGTTTAGAGAAGGTCAGAAAAACCTCCGGCAATTTTACTGGCAAGTACAGGTCTTGGACCTTGAACATTGTGCCTCTGATATTGTAGAAACGGAGATAGATTATACCCCAGGAAAACAATTTTGTAATTTTATCTTTTTTAAGGGCACATGAAGCAAGGTCTCAGGCCTGAAAAAATCCATAAAAAGCTTGATGGCCCATCTCACTTTTGAATGGAGATAAATTTCAGGTGGCCTTTAGTGAAATATCCACAGAAGAACGTGGAGATCCTCCCTTGGAGGATCCATTCCTCTTCATCTTCCTGGACAGTGGTGGCTTCAACCTTAAGAACCTCTTCCAGAAGTCCTACTTAGTATCAAAAGAAACATGCAGATGCGTGTCACTTTTGAATGAAGAGTATTTATTTCAGTGCCTAAGTGTAGATTCCTAGAGGCCTCATTTCAATCACTGTTTTTTTGTTTTGCTTTGTTTCTAATCTTCGCATTTAAGCTCTTCTATCTCGCAGACTCAGATGCAGGGCTAGATGGATTCAGTGGAAGGCCTTCCAGCTGCTCCACCTCAGCTGTCCTCTGTTGGCAGAGAAACAGGATGACAGAGGTGGAAGTGTGCTTCTCCCTGACAGGTGCTAAGAAATGCTGGCTAAAAACCAGACTGCTAGGCTGCCTGAGGACAACAGGCCCGTAAAGCTAATTTAGCAATCAATTCATACACATCTAGGGGATAATTGATTTGACCCTGAGGAGCAGCGTGATCACCCTCCTGTATTAAGTGATTAAGCCCAATGTGTCTCTGCTGATTAACATCTTTAGCAGCCTGAGCAGTGCAAGCGTCTTCATAGTCAGAAAGCCAAACAGTGTATTGCATTGTTGTTAAAGCAATTCTGAGCAACATTTTCCAGTCACACGGAGTCAAAACATACACTTTATTGATTCCCTCTAAAAAAAAAAAGCACATAAGAAGAGGAAGTACCACCTTCCTGTGCAAGTTTCCAAAGCATCGTGAAGGAAACACTGGTTTATCAATATTTGAAACACAAAGAGAGGAAATCTGGGAGACTTATATGACAAAGATATGCAAACTGTTATCTTCTCCAGCTTTTAGTGTTTTTGTGGCAAGAAACTTTCTGAAGATGTACTATTTCATATTTATTTACAGAGAGGCCTGTACTGATTACCACAGACTGTAGTCTTTCTGAAGCCAAAGGATCTGCCTGTTCATGAAAGTAAATCTACACGTGTGTGAATGCTCACAGACTGAGGTTTATGTAGTGAATTGTCCCATTCACTTCAACTTCATGAAGTCCTTCACGATAACAGATTGACCAGTCTGTAAATTTGCCAGCCTCCTGTAAATGCCTAGGGACTTAACTGTTTTAATTATTATAAGAGAACATTTTGGATTTAGTGGAGATGCTCAGAGTAGAGAAATAAGCACATACATAAGGCCCCATAAGTACACTTAAAATGGTTTTCTAAGTTTGTTGTGTCTCTGCTCTCTTTTACTGTTTTTGTTTTGTTTTGTTTTGTTTTAATAGTAATAGGTCTTTAATAGAAAAGTGTTTGAAATAAGAGAGAAGAAATAGAGCACAATAGTATGTGAAACAACATTTGATATTTCTGTAACAAAAAATTACAAATTTATGGATCAGCTTGCAAATGCCAGCTCCTTTTAGGAAGAATACATGTATTGAAATTATTACAGAAAAAAAATCTAATTTAAAATCTTTTATTCTAGAATAGAACACACAGATTTTATAGCTTGTGTACAAGGTGCTCAAGTGTGTTTTGAAGTAAAGGAAGCTGATGCCTGATGATCAGGTGTTGTAGTGTTTATTTCTGACCACATTATTTACCCAGTAACCTACAGTAATATAACATCAGTATCAAGTACAGGATGTTTTAAAATGTGATCTGGTGCTTTGCTGCTAAGCTGTCAGGTAACGTGGAAATTTCTCTCCCTGAGCTTGATTAACGCAAAATGTTTCATGCAACCACCAAAGAGAAATTGGGGATGGAGAGGAAGTGAGACTGATGGCAACAGGGACAGGAGTTTATCTCAGGTCTTGAAGACCATGCTTCTCCTCAAGGGCTCTAAGGGGGCAGTTGCATGGCAGCTTCAATGCTCTCTGCCTAGTTTTCTG